GAACCTGACTTCCCATCTAGGTTCTATTACTTGCTAGACTGCAGAAATAACCCCTCAAAGCCTCAGCTTGCTCATTTCCAAAATAGAAAACAATAGCCACCTTGCAGGGTTATTATAAAGGAGAACAGAGAGGGGCAAAAACGAGCCCACCTGGGTGCCTGATACATGATATTGCTCCTCTACTTCTACCACAAAATCTTGCCTATAATTAAAGGCCTCCAGAACAGAGAACCACCTTAATACAGCCCAGTGTCTAATAAACCTATCAGAAGAACCCGTCTTCATGTTTAAGCTTAATTTCTCTCTAACGCTTGGGTCAATATAGTACAAAATCTGCCCTCTTCTCACTGGAGATGGCAAATTATCAGTCATCATCTACTAAAAAGCCAAATATGCCATTTCAAGATTCCTATAACAATACCATAAGAACATCACTGACATTCAAATACTTTACCAAAAAGTATTCCACAAAAATATATATATAAGGCAGTTTCAACATACATAAAAATAAGAGTCATTTGGAAAATTATAACCTTAACTCTATTACTTATTTCTTCTATGACTGAGAATACATGAGCCCCAGTCGTGGTTGCTTTCTCTGGTAAAATTTTTAAAAGTATGTCACAGAAATCATTAAGACAGGAAATACAGAATATAAAACTAACTACGAGGTTAAAGTTCTCTTATGCGAGCATTTCTTTTACAAGAGAAAAACATTTTTTTTAATCCTAAGATAAATAAGAAATCACATAATTACATATTCCATTTTCCCAAATAATACCTTTAAAAACTGAGTCAAGTATTTAAAGCATTTATACTTACATTCAGTAAAAAAAATACTTAACAATGACCAACAATTGTCGACTGCTCCTAACTTAGGGAGAATTGTTACATCGCCTGTGTATTTCACCCAATTCAAAGCTTCTTCCATTGCCAAGATTTTCTGTTTCAAAAAGAGAGATGCAGAATATGATTTGGGCATTAATTATAAAAGTACATGTAGCATTATCGATTTATACAGTATTTCAGATTTTTAATACAAATCTTATACAACCACCTATTTTTATTACTTTAGCACAGAATCCAGAATAGCTGGATCCCAACATACAAGTTAACAGATACCATGGACTCGTGTATGTTGCATCTTCAGGTCACCCTGGGCTACCCTCAGAGCTCAATAAGCTTCTACATGTTATAGACCTGGAAGCTGAGGTCTACAACCTGGCCAGAGGCAGCCCTAGACAGCAGAAGACTACAATAATACTAGGTGAACATGGGGTCTCAGATCTCATCTAAACTAGGACTTCTCTCCTGACCCCCAGATTAAAGGTATAGGTTAAGGTTCACTAAAGGGACTATGTATTTTAAATGGTCTGTGGCACACAGAAAAATAAAGAGATAACAAGTGGAGGGCGTGGCTAGGCAGATAAGTGAGCACGTGATGCAAAGATCTTCACGAAGGGTCGAGAGTTTACAGAAACTTTATTTGTACTTCTAGTGTCCGAAATGACTTCAGAAATTAAATAGTAGAGTTAACAATGCTGGTGCTAGGCTTAAGGGAAACATGCAGAAATTTATGTTACCAATAGCATTAAAAATTGGTTTATCATTGTATCTGGAGATTGTTTAGTAATTATATATCAAAACATGTTCATACTAGGGACTTAATAATTTCATTTGGGAGAACATACGTCAGGTAAGTAAATAATCTAAAATTGAAAAAAGAATCAACTTGTAAAAGAGGCTCAAACTACATTACATATATGGAGGAAAAATGAAAATGATACAAACTCCCTAAACAAGGAGAGTGCTTAAGCAAAATACAGAAATCGATACTACCGAAGACTGCATGTAAAGTACTGACAACGTGGACCCGGCACGTGAGCAATGAGCAGTGAGAAGCCTGCCATTCACTCATAGTGGCTGTGCTGGGCTCCTGAGTTTAACACTTACATTTTCTATTTTATAACCAATTCTCAGCAAGCCTCCGATAAAGAATGAATCATTCTGCAAAACAAAACAAAACAAGAACACATTTTTCTCCTTATTCAGTCAATTATATTTGAATTTTCCAGTGCACATGAAAATCCCACATTTTAGGAATACATATATACATAGCAGTCCACTTCCTACAGGCACTTTCATGCCAAATTTACCTCTTACTGACCCTAAAACAAGAATCTAGAAATACTTACATTGGATTCTAATGACAAAATGACTTAGTGTAACTTCCAGATGTATGAATTTTAAACTTAATTATACCTAGATTTTTTTATAAAAATATATTGGCTAATACAAGTTACTGGCCAAGGATTACCACTAGGAAATAAACATCAGAATGCCCTTTCTAAATTTAAGTTTGCAATGAGAATAATACCAAGAAAAACACTTGGCTCCATAATCAACTGAAATAAGAAAAAGTATCAAATAACTTTCAAGGAAAATAAAAACCTTCAGTGTAGTGAAGGGTGCCTCCTCAAATACGACATGATAAAGATTACCCCACAGAAAAAATATTTGTTGTAGCGCTGGGGACAGCGACATGATTTTATGTTCCGAGATAGAACCCATCACTTTCAGAACCTGTGACAAAAGCTTCTGCGAACCAGGAGCACACTTTCGTTTGTGACAAATCCTAACTTCTATCTTTTAATGACAATAAGCAGTGCTGGTTCTCATCATATCATATCAGAACCAAGAAAACAGTCATCTACCTGATCTCTCAAATACAGAGCACAAAATCATGGACAGCGGAATAATCTTACATTACCCCAAACTAAAACCATTACCTGTTAATCGTCACAACTTAGTAACATAGGCCTGACACCATGTACTTATTTATAATCTTTAAATAAGAGGGGGGGCAGCCATATTCTATCACTTACCACAACTTTCTTTGCCAAATCCACAATATCTTCCATTAGCTCAAGATGTTGTAACTTCTTCAAACTTATCTCACAAGAATGAGAATTGCTTAAAGACAAATTTATTTTTTAAAAGATTAGGTTCTCATATGTAAAAATTCATTGAACTTCATACTTAACATGTTACACCTCAATTTATAACTATTTGAAAAATAAGTTTTCTGTTTCTGTACTCCACGTAACAGTAAGTTGTTTAAGTGGATAAAAATACTATACCTTTTCCTTTCTTCTGTACTACAATGCTGACATTTATGAACATTCATTTTGCCTTTCTCAGTTTCAAATTTACTATCTAATTCTCTTCAGAAATTCATTTGTTATATATAATATTACCATAATGATTCATTCCTCTCTGAATCCCAAGTATTAACTTTTTCTGCTCATTCAACAGCCAAGGAGAGCAAGCCTTTCGGTGTACCTGGGATCCCTCAGTATGGGCTTACCACTGTCCATACAAAATGAGAAACACGTAACAACTTACGTGGCCTCCACGCAGGGATGCAACCGTGATATCATCGAACTATGCTGATGTTGAAACAGAAGTGGCCAGAAGATGTATATTTTAATGGCATCACAGTAATCTCGCAGGACAGAAATTGGCTTACTACACCACATATTGCAAATGTCAAATTCTTAATTGAAAAAAAAGTTTTAAATTAATATTTTGTGCCTCATTTTGGAACAAATCAACAGTTAATACGAAAAAAAGCAAAAATGGATACAAAAAGGTAAGAAATGAATAGATGAAATATTTTAACCTGTTAGATATTAAGAATATTTCAGAGTTAGCTAAAATGTTATTTTAACAAAGAAAGGTTTTGGTTTCTAGTGAAAAAGAATAGGAAGAATAAACTTTTAAGAGGTATATAAGTTGTTATGTTGATGTGAATAAATGAACTTCTCCTGATACAGTCTTTCAACAAATTAAAATTAAAATACCAATGTACTCACCTAAATTCCTCTCACTTCGGGCATAATCTTTATATTCCCGACCCTAAAAACAAAAAAATATATATTTGATTCGTCTGGTAAGATGCAAAAGTACAGTTCTTGATTCTTAATGTAAGGATTATTAGTGTCTCGGGATCTCCCTGAGAGCTTTTCTAATCGTCTGTCATCGGTCATTCTGTGACACTGCATTCTTGTGGTTGAGGGACTGCTCACTTTCCCTCCTGAAATCACCTCTGCAGCAGCATGAATACCTCCCTACAAAATCTCACACAACACTAAACATCTTTACTCGGAGAGCTCTAAGTTAAACACCTTTAAGAAATCTTAGGGTGAAAACATGAAGAGATTAAGAAATACAAACTGGCAGTTACAAAGAGTCCCATGGGTGTGAAATACAGCACAGAAATTACAGTGGACGATATTGCAATAACTACGTATGGTGTCAGGTGGGTACTAGACTAATCCGGGGGCTCACTTCGTAAGATACATAAACGTGTAACTACTATGCTAGACACCTGAAACAAATATAAAAGAAAACTGAATTTCAACTGTAACTGAAAAATAATTTTCTTTAGACGTAAATCTTAAAAATTCTCATCACAAGAAAAAAACAGCAACTGTATGATAATGGATATTAATTAGTAATGGATGTTATCTAGACTTTTTATGGTGATTTCACAATATACATATATTGAATTATGTTGTACACCTGAAACTATATGTTATATGTTAATTATACCTCAATTTAAAAAAACCTTTAAAAAGACAGATACAATATACAAACCAAAAAGTTAACAAATCTACTTACCACCCCATCACAATAAAGTTGAGTCACACGAACATAATCATCGGATACAAATTCAGGAGCAAAGACACAATCGTCCACATACGGGTAATCTTCCAACAAGGCATAATCGTCTACAATGAAATCTCCCAGGGCAAAGTCGTCCATGGTACACCATGCTAAAGAAACAGCACAAACCCGAATCGGTAATCAAATCACCTAAGATTCTCTGAGAAGCAGCTTTCCTGGCTTCTCTAGCATTTTAGAAAAACACTTAGAATTTATGCCCCAAGGAAATAATTCCAAAAGGAACACTGAGCTCTGAAAGATTCTCACTCACTCTGCAACTCTTTCCACCTGACTCTCTTCAAATACCAGTTTACTCTATTTCTTCTTTCCTCAGGTCCAGAGTCCCCATATCTACTCTGAATTTATCGGTTTACACGTCTCCTTTAGATGGAGGATAATTAAAGGAATCTCATTCATCTCTGAATATACCTAGCACATGGTAAGCCTCAAGTGTTTGCTGAATGATCAGAAAACATCTTTCCACTGCTGCCCTTTTACGCATCTGCTTTCACTGTATCCTGTGAAATACTTTTCCCCCATACCTACATCCTGCTGCATTCTCAATCTCCTGGCAGGAACTAAATCCTGACTGCACTGAGGAAAGTTTCCTATCAGCCGCTCACATTCTCCTGTCCATCCCTCAGTGTGTGTCTGTCCTGGGCCAAGGGGCAGAGCTGAAGTGGTACAGCACGAGTCTGTCAATCTCTTAATTCCCCACGGCCGCATCCAGGTCTTCCGTCTTCCTAACAGTCGCTGCTCCTAATGCAGTCAGCACTGCGAGACTGCAAAGTGGGCAAAAACCCCCACGTTACCAAAGCGTTTGAAAAGTAATTACTTCCATGGGGGAAAAGAGGAATTAGGGCTGGAGTTTCAGACTAAGGTATTTTTCCCTGAAGAAAGTTAAATGATAAAGATTTATAGCTATCAGAGAAAAGCTAGACAACCTAAATATCACTGAAAAATGCATTTTCTTACTAATTCTTGCCCAAGGAATGGCTTTTCCTGTCATCACAGCACTGTCATTAACATCATTTTTTACAGTTTCACCAATGTTGTCCTACTATCGTTAGGACAAACCAACTTTTTTTCCTAAGCAAGACCACCATCAGTTTTTGAAACACAAATCTGTTTCTTTAATCCTTCTCATTCTGTCCAATTTGTATGAAAACCTCACAACATCAGTGAAGAACAGACTTCCTAGCCAACTAGTTGTACTACTTATCACACACTGTACCAAGTGTTTTACATGCATCTTATTTATCCTCACAGCAAATCTTCTCAGGCCCAAGTACCATCATCACCATACAAATGGGAAACATTTTTGGTAAAATTAAGTAATTTGCTTAAAGTCACCAAGTTAGGAAGGATTCAAACCTAGGTCCTCTGATTCCAGTCTGTCCTCTAAAACACTGTACTATATCTACTTTTCCTTGTCACTGCCACCTAGTTACCTGTTGGTTGTTGTTATGTTTAAGAGCACTGGCAACTAGTTCACACTGCTCCCCTCTCTTCTCTAAAATCTATCATCATCCTAGGAACTCCAAAGCCCAGTAGACGACGCCCTCAAGACGCTAGCCTTGCAGTTTACCGACCTCCTCAACTAACACGAACATCACTGCCCACCTCACCAAGGCTATTCCTTCCCAAGGACACACCTCGGATCACTGCCCAGGCCTAACCTAGTTTTCAAATCTTTAACTCTGATTAGCTCTTCGACCACAACGGAAGAGTCCTTACAGCTCCTGTCTCCCTATCTCCTGCCACAGACATCCCTCAAAGTAAAAAAAAATTTTCTTCCCTTTTCTCTCATTCAAATCCTCCATTCCCATTTACTTTCGGTTTCCTACAATTGGATTTCCACTTCAGTATGGTCATCGGTGACCTTCCGCAACAGACTGGTTACGGGTAACTTCTGGAACCTGACCTGGCCTGGATGAACAACATTTCCACAGTTTAGAATTTAACTCCAAAAGTGAACAATGACTGGAAAAAGACAAACACATTTTAGCACCCAAAGTATGGCATCTGATATGGAGCATATGCTATCCTGGGAAATACATGCTTTTAAACACATTTGTCTTACAAACATTTTTTGTACAGAAATACATAAGAGCCAGGAATTGCCTGTCACAGCCCACATGTCACCATCATGGCATCGATTACAACATCACAATACAGTTACCATGCCCAAGACCGGCAGACTGGGCCTCGGTGATGTAACAGCCTGGCAGATCTCGCCAATGTCACACCTTCACCAACTACAGTGTGATTACAACACTGGTATAATTCTCATTTCCTATTTTGTTTTAAGCAGAGATGTGCCGTGGCACAGTGATTGAGAGCACGGGCTCTGGAACCAGACTACCTGGGCCTAACCCTGGGGTCCCTACTCCCTGAGTGTGTGATCTCGGGCAAGTAAGTTAACCTATCTGTGCTTCAATTTCCTCACGTATCAAATGAAGAGAGCAGTACTACCTACCTGATTAATCAGTTAACATATTTAAAGTGCTTAGAACCGTACGTGGCATATAGATAATGCTGTAAACATCAGCTAACGTTAACATTAATATCAGATAAGTATTTTTTAAAATCCACTGCTTGGATGCTTCCAGCTAAATGGTCTACCTTAATTGCTAAGTCCAAAGAGCACTTTTCAGCTTACAACTTACTTGACGCTGTCGACCACTTCCTCCTCCTCAGAACTCTTCATCTGGACTCCAAAGACCATCTTCTCCTGGTCCTCCTATTCTTCTGGCTGCTCTTCCTCAGTCTCCACGGGCTCTTCATCTCCATTCCCCGCCACCCAAATGTCAACTCTTTTCTTTTCACACTTACTCTCTCCTTGGGTGACCTTATCCACACACCGATGGCTTTTAAAAGAGCACTTTCTGAACCTCCATCATTTGCAGTGCTTCACCATGATTTTTGCCATTTCCACATATCACATGTATTTTTATTTACTTGATATTTCTCTTTTATTGGCTTCACTTGGCATAAGTGATAACGGCCACAATATCATAGGTTTGATGTACAATTTATGTTTTTCATACACATTAAATTCCTAACTATTCAAAATTTTTTAAGTGTTTACCTATGTACCTCTATAGATTATAATACTGCACTATAGCACACAACAGCTAAAATGTCAAATGCTGAAGACTCCCAATTTCTCCAGGCTGGGTTCCATCTCATGACTTCTGGACCCTCCCAGCCAACTGCTACTGGATCTTGACCAAGATGTCCTACAAGCCTCTCAAATTCAATTAAGTTCAAAAACAAACAAATCTTTTTCCTCAAAAACAAAGGAAACTAAGTTCTTTCCTCTTTCTGTACGTAATCAGTTAACTACTCTGTAATGTCACCTGGTTACCCAAACTAGAAACTGGGGGTCAATCTAGGCGCCCCAGTCTCTTTCAACATTTCTACACAACTCTCCACAAAATCCTGTCATTTCTACTCCCCTAAGAAATCTCAAATTAGCACGCGCACACCCTTTCATGCCCGCTGCCACTGCCTTAGTTGTAGCTTCATCTCTTCTCCTCTGAACTAAATGAACGAGCAGTCTCCTAACTGGTGACTTGTCTTCAATCTTGGCATCCTCTAAAACACTGATCATAACATTTTACTGCTTAAAATCATTCCATAGCTTCTCTTCATCTTCAGAATAAAGTCCAAACTCCATACTACACCATAGAAGACCTCTATGATCCTTTTCCTGCTTTTGTCTCCAGTCACTCTGACACTCAACTTACAAGCCAGTCATTCAACTGCTTGCATTCTTAAACCTTATTCTCCAGCAGCCTAATGCCTACCAGCCCTTAATACTGGATTCTAGGAAGTGTTTCCTGATCTTCTTGCTACCACCAAGTCTATTTCTGCATCCCTTCTCTGTAAGCCCAGAGCACCCTGCCCATATCTTTTGACAGCAGTGTTCACACTATTTGGTCTTCACAGGTTTATCTCCGTAGGTTCACTATGGGTCCAGAGGTTAGGTTGTGCCCTACTCATCCAGGTTGCCTAGCTCAGTGTTTCCTCAATTTTTTAATGACATTCCCCCAGGCAGAAAACTGCCAAATCCACTTGTCACCTGTACTGTTATTTAATATTTTTCTTTAGAATAACTCAACTTTTAACTTAGATGTAAACTTGTTTTAATAGAAAATTTGATATCACCAAGAAATCTTATGTTTGATAGGACAGGACTTTTTTTCTAATACAAACTAAAACATATTACTAAAATTAAATTGTTAAAGTAAATGACTTCTAATCTCATCAGTTATGATGAACTAATGAGGGGTTCTCTGCAAAACAAAGTGGGTCTTCAACTTAAAAATTTTTTCATTTTGCTGAGTTCACAGAAATAGAGAACATTTAAAGCCATCCTTCCTACCCCGCCAAAAGAAACAAACCTCTAGCTAGAACTAAACTTATAAGTAACGTAGTAATGCCAAGAACAATGAGATCAGGACATTGAGCCCTGGACCAGAAGCAAAATGAGGGAACTGAAGAGCAGTCCCATGAAGCTCCTTGAGCCCAGCCAAAGCTGACACAAATCCTATGAGAAGGAAAGGACCCCCAGTCAGACTCTCGAGATTACCAAAGAGAAAGATCAATCAAACAGAAGTTCATAAGAGATCACCAAGCACAAGAGGTGACAACTCACCATGACGGAGAGACAACAGAAAAAAACAAGCAATAGCTTTAGACCCCAAAGGACATCAGACATTGGGATGGCCATAGTCTAAAGAATACCCACAGTTTGAAAAAAAATAAGCAAATCAGACTATAAAAAATGACTGGGCATATCTAAAAAAGAACCAAGTGAAACTTTAGAAATTTAAAATATAGTTGTTAAAAGTAAAAGAAAAAAAAAAGGTTTGAAGAGAAAATTGATGAACTAGAAGATGTGCCTGAAGAAATTACCCAACATCAAAAATTCTGACAAAGAGTCAAGGAAATGAAATGAATGAAAGATAAAAAGTGACGTGGAAATAGTTTAAAACATATAGATCCAGTTAAATGTCAGAAAAGATAAAATCAAAGAGAGACAATATTTAAAGAACAGAGAATCTTCTAGATCTCATGAAAAACAAAATTCAAAATCAGGAAATACGTGTAACCAAAAGAAGATAAATAAAAAGTAATCTCCAGCTAGACTTAGAAGTGAAATGTCATAATATCAAAGACAGAAAATCCAGTGTAGCCAAAGGAAAAAGAATATTTTCTTCAAAGAAGCATAAATAAAACTGGCAGCAAAGAAGCATAAATAAAACTGGCAGCAGACTTTGCATGTAAAATAATATATTCACTATGCAATCAGAAAATAAACTATCAATCTAGAATTGTATACCCCTCAAAATAATCTCTCAAGAAGGATAAAATAAAAATAATTTTAGATAAAAACTGTTGATCACCAAGAGACTTGAACTAACTTCTTAAAAATACCAAATAAAAAGCATAAATTGTCTGACTGGATTAAAAGAAAAATCCAGCATCGTGTTCTTTATGAGAGACACCTAAAATGTAGATTTAAAAAAAAAAAAAAGTAACAGTAAAAAGAAAAAGAATATTTCAAGTAAATTATCTCCAAAAGAAAGGTGGGGCAGACAAAACAAATCCTAAGGGCAACAAGCGAAATTAGACATGGAAAGGGTCACAACATAGTGAAAAAGAGAACATATTCTCTAACTGGGATAAGGCATGTGTAACCTTAATACCAAAATCAGACTAGATGGTTAAGAAAGAAAAATGACAGGTGATTTCGTTTATGAACAGATACAAAAATCCTGAGCAAAATATTAGCAAACTCAACCCTGTAACTCACAAAAAAGACAATTCACCAAGCTCTATTTGGGTTTATCTCAGGAAAGAATGTAAGAATTAAGAATTTTAAAATGTAGTAATTGGAATCCATTACATTCAACAGACTAAAGGAGAAAAACCACAAGATCTTCTCAATAGATGCAGAAAAGCGTGTGACAAAATACAAAAATTTCTCTAATTTAATAATCTACATAAACTCATAACAAACATTTGTAATGGGGACACTCCCTTTAAACTCAGGAACAAGACACATATACCCAATATAATCACTTCTAATGATAAACCATGATCACTTCCATTTAACATAGATCTAAAACCATTCCAGCATATTAAGACAAAAAAAAAAATGTAAGAGAAAATAGAACCGAATTATAAAAAAAAAGAAAAGATACCAATAAACTAAAAAACAAAAATATAACAGAAAGAACTAGTTAGACCAAAATTTAATCCAATTTTATCACTATTTGCAAATGATATAATTATCCACATAGAAACCCAGAAGAATTACAAAAAAGATATAGAAGTTTATCAAGTGGATCACTAAAGATCAATATAAAAAAATCCATTAAATGTCTATTTACTAACAATAAACAGAAAACAGAATCTTAAACAACACTATTTACAACAGCAACAAAACTAAATACATCGGGATCAACATTTAAAAGTGTTAGGTCTATATGGAGAAAATTACAAAACTATATTAAAAGACATTAAAACCTAAATATATGGAAATACATACCACATTCTCAGGAAGGTTAAAAAATTTTAAAAGATTTCAATTCTCCCCCAAATCGATTCAATCTATTCCAATTAATTTTCAGAGATTTCATGTCACGTGACCAGTTGATTCTTAAAACAAGAACGAAGGTCCAAGAACAGCTCAGACTCAAGTCCTGATATCAAGATTTCTGGTAAAGCTATAGCATTAATAATTATGATGGTGGTATCAACGCAGAGATGGACAAGTGGCAGAGAAAGGTGAGCCAGGAACACACCCATGCATATAGAAACTACACACATAAAGT